GTTATTGTATTTATTGCATAAGTTTATGTCAGTGCTCTATTTTTTTAAAGAAATAAAAAGACATACAATTATCTTTCTTAATAAGAATCCTATTTTAGTTTAGTTTTACAAATTGCAACTTCAATTTTTTGTGTTCCTTCGCAGATAAAATGTTTCCTATCTGTTTGTTTGTATAAATAATGGACAAAATGTGTACAAATTAGTGTACAAAAAGAAATTAACATTTTAATATGAAGTTGTTGGGTTATTTGTAGCAAGTGTTTCATATTAATGAGATTTTAATTATTGGCTACTAAATATATGAATTTTACTTCTAGCTGGCAACTTTCTAAAATTAGGAATAGAATAATCCTTACTGAAAGAAGCAGACTCTTACTGTGGAATGAAATTATTATAATTGTTTGTTTGTCATTTAGATTTTCAAGAAAACATGCAGACCCTTCTCAACAAAGTAAATGAAGAATACATCAAACTCTTGGTACTTCAGTCACAAGTAAGTAAGGTCTGTGAAATGGAAAATATAATGTTTGCATTTATTATATTACATGCTATTTTGTAAGCTGCTTCTTCAACCAAGAATTTCTAAAATAAGTGAACATGAAAAGAAAATTAGGGAAAAGTGATACATGTTTATAGTATAAGTGAACTGAAGAAATTTCTGCAATTTGAATACTCTATCCCTTTAGAGGATTTTTGAAATCATGATAAAGTTAAAATATATATAAAATGTCAAGCTGTGAACTTTGTCAAGCAGTTGCATTTAATTTTACATATAACATTTTAAAGCAATGAATCTGTTTTTAAAAATAGTAATTAGTTTAATTGTTTAGAACATAGCTAATTAGTTTCACATGGTGTTATATATATATAATTTCCTTTAAGCAGTTGTCTTAGAAATGTGTGCATAGAAAGAAAACTAGTTAAGAGAGTATAGATGGCATAATATAATTTATTAACTGTATCAGAAAACAACTTAAATAACATATATTAGCAAAGATAAGCGTTGGAATCTCATGTTCTTCTTCTCCTTCTCTTCCCCTCCCTCTTTTTTTCCCTTTCTGTTTTACCCCCATCTCCTTTCCTCTCTCCTCCTCTTTTTGTGCAGTTAAAGCACAACCTTATCCAGCCTTTCCTAAAACTTGTAAACCTGTCCCGGTTTCTTATAGATAACTTTTTTAGGAGGGCAGGTGGATAGATAAAACCCCTTCTTTAACTCTACCTTTCTCTACAATCGCTAGTTTTCTTTCTCCTTCCCTTCACAGCCAAAACTTTGACCCCTATTTAGAATCACCATACCATTTTCTTACCAATACTCTTTGTAGTCTAGATTTCTTCTTTTTCTGCTACTTTTATTGTGCCTCTAAGCACCCTTCTTCTCTACTTGGACTTGGGTTCTGAGGGCTGCTAAGAAAATTAGATGGTGATGTGATTTGGTGACATTACATTATCATGGCCTCTGACCTCAGGATCACTTGACAGTTCTTTTATGTGGCCATTTATCTTCTCATAATCCCCTCAGTAGATACTACCTAACTTTACAACTTTCTTCAAGTCATGCATTCCATTTCTAGTCCCCTTTTTTCTTTGCAGATGGCCTTATTTCTTATTTTTCTGTGAGTGTAAAAGTGAGCTGTCAATTATAAATGATCTCATCTTACTACATCTAGACCAGATGTATTTCTTTAATCTGCAAATACCTTAATTTATTTTCCTTCTGTCTCAGAAGTTATCCCTTTTCATAACCAAGATTATTTTATTTCTTGTGCTTTTGTTAACATCCTCTTCTACCTCCTCTAAAATTGATAACCTGTTTCTCCTCTCACTTTGATGTTTTCGGCTTCTTTGTCACTGTTTTTCTCTGTTTCTGTCTTCTTTCCCCTTGCACATTCCTCATTTCTCCACTGTTGAGAACTTAACCAGTCTTCCCTCAGTCTGACATTTCCCTTTGTGATTCTCTTTCTCTTTCATTGTCATGTTGAAGGAAAGAATAGACAATAGCCAGAGTTTCCCATCTCCTCCTCTCCTACTCTCTTCTACCCACTATAAACAAGCTCCCAACTTCCACTTCACTGAATTTTCTTTGAAAAAATTTATCAATGAATTCATAATTATCAGATTTCCTTTCTGCCTTCTTACCTTCCTTCTTTGTTTTCTCTTAAAAATGCGTTGCTTTTTCTTATGGCAATACATAGTTGAAACTATCAAATAGTGTAGGAGGGCTTACAGTAAATGAGTAACCTCAGTAATGTTTGTCATTTTGCCTCCCTTTTTAGGACAGTGAGTGGGGAACAGTTTGCTTTGATGAGACACACACCTCCCTTCCTCAGTGCCAGAATGTGGGAGGCTACTCTGGAACACATACCCGCACTAGCTTGTTTAGTTCTCCCAGATACTTCTCAGTTTCTTTTGAGAAGAACTTTTACCTGCCACTAGATTTCTGGCTGGCTGCGTCAGGAGAAAGGGCTATACTGTGATTAATTAAAGGTCAATATATTTATTTTCTGATCTACTCTGTTCCTGTCATTGCACTCTCTTACTGAGTCTCAGGCCTTTTTAGGGTTTCACTAGGCAAATTAATTGTTTCCTGTAACTGTGGTTCCCTTCATGTGTGCTCTAGGCCACTGCTCCCTCCGCCCTGCTTAATCTGTATTCCTCCACCCCTGTCTGATGAAAGCTCTCTTGGTCTCTTCTCTTATTTTCTTGTTTATTATGGATTTGTGCTTTTTAAAGATTCATCATTGTTTTAATTGAATCATAGGGAGGAAGGAGAAGTGTATGTCAAAGATCATAAACATAAATACCTATGTAAGCTTAGCACATAAAGTAAATGAAGAAAGCCAAGTGAAAACTGGATGAGTGAAACCTGGAGAAAACATACCTCATCTGAAGAGGATAGGGGCTGCTCAGCTTCACTTTGTTGTTGTCACGTGTAAAATTGGGGCTCGGTGTTGTTAATTCTTTCAACTTACCCATTTTTTGTGAAGTCTTTGCTTTTAAAAATGTTAAAGGCAAATGTGAAGTGGGGTGAGGGTATAGCTTAGTGGTAGAGTGCATGCCTAGCAAGCATGCATAAGGTCCTGGGTTCAATTCCCAAGACCTCCGTTAAAAATAAGTAAATAAACCTGATTACCTCCCCTCGCCCCCCCCCCAAAAAGGAAAAAAGATGTTGAGAAGTATTAAAAATAAACAATTAAATAAAAATAAACAACAAGAAAAACCACTTGGTACCCAAAAGAATACTTCTGTATTTTGGATTTAAAATCAAGCCTCTACTTTGCAGCCTTGGGTATAACACATGCTCAGTGTATCTTGAATTAATTTTCTTTTTAATTTTTATGCATTTTTACTTTGTAGTCTCTGCTGCTTTCTTAGAATATTTTATTCCTTTAGCTTCTGTGACTTCAATTCTGTGTTTTTTTAAGCCTCATCGTGGTCTTTGCCCACCCATTTATAATCACCAAGAATCTTAACGTGATCCTCTAATTATGCTGTATGCTGCCCTTGTCTACTTCCGTGACTTCTGGATCTTCATGTCTAGTTAGTCCTTACTCCTGAGCTGTAGGGTTGTATTTCTAATTGGGTGTCTCTACTTGAGTATCCTTTAGGTATGTCTCAGTCAACACTAAAATTTAAATTTATTAATTTCTTTCCCTTAAACCAGCCTCTCCTTCCTTCTAAGAATAACTTTCAACTAGAAACTTGGGGATAATATCATCCTAGACAGTTCTCGCCCCTAACCCCTGATCTTCCATCATACTGCAATATACTCTGAAGGGAGTACAAAAGAATGAGAGATGTATACCTTGTACTCATTCACTTGTCCAGCCAGTAATATTTATTTGCTAATTATATGCCAGGTTGTTCTGTTTACTGGAAATAAAGCAGTATACAATGTAAATAAAGTCACAAGCTGAAAGGAATTTCTAAGTGGATGGACTTCATTAAACTAATTCAGGTTATATATATATCTATATATATGTACATATATATATATATTAGTTATTCAAGGCAACATTTAATTGTTTAAAAGAGAAGTACTTTTGGATTTAAGCAAACAAGTAAATGAGTATAGGCACGGATAACTGAGAAAGATTTCTTGGAGGAAGTGGGACTTGATTGGACCATGAAATATGTGTAGGTTTTGATAAAGAAGGGGAGGGAGAATAGCATTCTGGGTGGAAGGGGTGATATGATAAAAGTCTTGGCGTTGTAAGTGTGGTGTATTTGGGATATATTGCTCGAAGAATAATGGACTCTAAAATTAGAGAGGTTAGATTGTACTAAACTTTGAATGCTAGGTGGGACTTTTATCTTGCAGACATTAAAAATCTGTTAGAAGTTTGTGATAATGGGCTAGACATCATGAAGTTGAACTTTTAGGGAAATTAATCTGGTGGCAATGGGAGGTAGGAAAGAAGAAGGGATGATTCGTAAGACATTTTAAGTAGAAAAAGAACCTAAAGAATTTGATAACCAGTTAATGTGGGAGAAAATGGAGAAACAAGGCTAAGCTGAGTCTTATTTTTCATTTCCTGTTTCAGTGAAACTTACACCTTAGATGTATGCAGAGTATGGTTGTGCTGAGAGTCCCCAAGACCACTCCCCAGTTCAGTGGTTCCCTAGAAGGATTCATATGATTCAACATATAGTTGTACTCAAGGCTAAGATATTACAGCAAAAGGATACAAAGCAAAATTGCCCTGTAAAGGTTTGAAAAGGCACATGGGGTGAAGTCTGGAGGAAAGCAGGCACAAACTTCTAAAATCCTTTCCTAGTGGAGTCACAGGACACACTTAATTCCTGTAGCAATTGTGACAGTATGTTTTGTCTGCTGAGGAAGCTCACCTGAGCCTAGGAATCAGTGGTTTTATTTTTCAGTCAGGTTGTCAGTGACATAGCATCCTCTTGCTTAGAACATACCAAAATCCAGTTCCAGAAAGAAAACATGTGTTCAGTGTAAACCATATTGCTTGTACAGTCTAGGCATGAGACACTCTTACCGTTTAGGGAAAGTTTTATGTTAGTGTAGGGAATTGTTTACCAGCTAAGTTCCCAGATACCAGATAAGAGTGCCCAGATGCCAGCCAAGGGCCAAACTTGCAAGCAGGACTTTCTAAAGAAATAGGAGTCTCTTTTCTACAGTGGGTAAAAAGTGAATTTCACATTATAACCCGGTAAGTTAGTTACAACTGCAGAGGCATCCCAGAGGTTGGTTACCATCAGAATCAGCACTGCTGTACATTACGGCTTAACCTGTTAACCTTGTCTTCTAATTCTCCTCATTTTAACCATATTGAAATAGTTAGAGTTTCCCAGATGCACTCATATCTTTCAGACCCCCTGTGCTTTTTTGGGGGGCATGCTGTTCTTTCTGCCTAACACTGCCCTTCACCCCCCAATTTGCTTAGTATGTTCATACTTCTCATTCCATTTGGTTCAAATGTTCCTTCTTTTGTGTCATCTTCTTTACCTAACTTCCTAGACTTAGACATTTCTTTCTCCATTCTCTTAGTATCTGTACAAGCCTTTGCTTTTTGCACTTACCTTTTTCCATTTTATGTTTTGGGGGGTTTGGGGGAGGTAATTAGATTTATATATTTATTTATTTTTAATGGAGGTACTGAGGATTGGACCCAGGACATCCTGCATACTAAGCATGCAGTCTACCACTGAGCTGTACCCTCCTTTTTCCATTATTTTCAATACTTCATTAACTTCCTTTCTTCCTTGATCCTATAGCTCCTTGTACAAACTTGAATTTGTATCACATTACTTTCCATGTTATATTTTTTTTTACTCTTCTTGCCTCTTCCACTACACTAAACCCTGCTAAAACCTTTAGAATCAGGAAGTCTTCTCTTTTTGGGGGGAGTGGGTAATTAAATTTATTTTTTATTTATTTAATGGCAGTACTGGGGATTGAACCCAGGACCTCCAGCATGCTAGGCATATGCTTTACCACTGAGCTATACCCTCCCCCCTAGGAAGTCTTCTCTTTTTTTTTTATTTCCTCTTCTTAGCACATTGGTTTGTTTAGCACATGGTAAAGGCTTACTAAACGTTTGCTGAGTGAATTAAGTGAAGATATAGAAAGGTTAAGCTAGAAAGTGAAGAATTTATCTGATGGCTTTATTTTCTCTGGGAAGTAGGAGGCAAGGTCCTATGCTGAAATGTAGTCACGGGGTAGGAGTAGGGTAGAGGACTTGATAGGAGTAGTCCCAATTGAAATAGTCCTCATGGGAAATAGCTTTTATCCTGTTGTTCACTTGCTTCTATAGTATCCTTTGTTCATCTAGTCTAGCAAGTCCAAATTCCCCCTGTTTTTAAGATGCTCTGTAATCTAGATCTGTCTTATTTATCTAGCATGATTCCCCCATCCTTATCCAAATTAAACCCCTCCTGACAAAATTATTGTCTTCATTTCTTACATCATAGGTCAGTCTCTCTTTCACAAATGCTCCTATTCTTTCTTCCTTGTAGCCTTTCCTAATTATTGCCCCAAATGATCGAGGCCCAAATGAAATCTGACTTCTCCATTATTACTCAGACCCACATCAATCTTTCTTTTGTTATTGCTCTTTAATCAAACTTTATAATTAAGAGCTTCTCTAATTGTTTAATTTTATTTCCCCAATTAGTTGATAAATTCTGTGAGTGCATACTTTTACTGATTTTATATTCTTATTCTTCCTTGTCACAGTGCTAGCCACATAGTAGATTATTATTTGAGGAATGACTAAATAATATACATAAATGTCTGGCATATTGCTGCCTAGTTTTCATAGTTAAAAAAATAAACAGAGATTTATGTGTTTTCAATGTTTTCCTTCCTTTTTTGAAAAGAGCAGCATATATTTGTCAGTTACATGGTTGTGCATAGGTTATATCCAGAGATTAACAGCAGATATATTATCAAACACTGATAATATAAAATTTGCTGTTTGTGAATTGAAATTTCAAAGACCAAGTCATAAATATTGTCATGAGCTTTATACCAAAATTCTGTGCAGCTCCTGTATTTGTAGTTAAAATGAACTTCCTTCTGACTACAAAAAGAACATTATTCTTCCTAATATAATTTCAGTGCTATGAAGGTATGGGGTGTGAGTCACTGTGTTGAAAGAGAACATGGAATAACTTGGAAAGGAAAATATTTGTATTAGAGTGTCACAATTTTAGATGATTTTGAAAAAACATTTTAAATGTAGAGTTGCTTTTATATAACTTTTACAATACTAGGTCATATATTTATGTCACTGCTTTTCTCCTGTTATGTTCAATAGATTCAAAGACAGCAAACAGGTGATGTGAAACTTGAATTTGCAGAAGAAAACCTACCAAAAGAGGAAACAGATTTTTTACTTACCTGTTCTCAGATGACCAATTTGCAAGACACTGGTAAATCCTGATTATATATCATAATGCAGTGTTTTTATACCAATACTCAGTAATTTGATGTTTGACTTTAAAATTTGAGACAAGCTAGTACCTTCAGCATTTCACTGTAACACTCTGGTCTCAATTTTCTAATCCTTAAAATGAAAGGTTTAGACTACTCATCTCTCTTCACTTCTCTGTGGTTCTAAATTGTTTTCAGTTTAATAGATTGGTAGAGTTAGGGATACTGAAACTATGAAGGTAGAGCAAATGATCTTGAATTACATTATTCATGTTTTCTTGTTTTCATCAGTCAGAGTGAGTTTAAATTGAAACTTAGGTAAAAATTAAAAATGTTTGGAAAAAAAAACAAAAAATGGGGGAGGAAAGGGCTCAGTGGTAGAGCTCATGCTTAGCACACACAAGGTCCTAGATTTAGACCCCAGTATATCTCCATTAAAAATAAATAAATTTTTAAGACATAAAAAACATTATTTTTCAAATAAGAATAAATATTCTCTGCACATCCCAAAAAGTGATTGTGGTATTTCACAAATAAATTTGTGTTGAAATGTGTGTTTTCTTCTGTTCATGTAACGTAGATGCCAGTCATAAAAGCAAGTTATCTACTCTACAAGATATCCAAGCAATTAAACAACTTGAAGGACAAGTTCAAGAATTAGAAAACCTTGTATCTTCTTTGCAGCAGCAATTGAAAGAAAATGAAGAAAATTATGGGGTAGAGATTCATTCTTTGCAGGAAAGGCTTCAAGCTGTTAATGAGTCTACAGTTCAACAAAGGTATTCATCTACTTATAATTTCATATTATAGTATTTGTAGCTTAGTAACAATCATAGTATGGTTATTCTAAGAAAAAAATGTCATAAGCAAATGTATGTGAAAGAGATGGGCTGCAGGATTATCAAGAAATAAGAGCTAGAGATAACTCTTTATCTCTGAAATGTGTGAATTAAATGTTAGTTTAAACCAAACACATTTTATAATGGGAATTTTACTTATACTTTTATAAAGATGCTGGTTGGTATGAATACCTGCTAGATTGAATCAGGCAGTATTTGTTTTATTTCTGTATGCCTAATCTTTCCTACATTTTTTACTATGACTTTTTCCCTTTTTTTCATTTTTCAGTTTTTTAGGTAGAATTGTTGCAGTTTGCACATTTACAATAAATTGTATGTACGTACGTATATACAATATATTGCGCGATTTTTTTTGGATTTACATACATGTATTCTTTCATTG